TTTGTACCAGGGATCGAACTTGGGTCCTTGCGCTTACAAGGCAGGTGGTGGAACCACTGAGCCAAATCCCCGGTGATCTCTTGTAGCTATCACCCCCAGGGGACAGCCCAACACATTTAATCCTATACCTGGAAAGTGAGCCCAGGTATGTCCACCAACTCCCCCATCCAGGAGAGGACAGCGTTGATGAAGGCCAAAACGGCCAGATAGGCAATCAGGCTGGCTGCTATGTTAGCAACCAGGCCTATGGCATCTGTGGCTCCACTGCTGGCAGCTTCCAGAATGTTCCTCTCCTTCCTGTGATCATGGGGCACAGGGAAAGGGTATGGTGTCTAGAGTAGTCTCAGGTGCTCACCAAAGAGAATTTCCATCGTTCCTACAGTGCAGGCGGTGGCGACCAGGCCAGGGTGAGAGGTGAAGGGTTCCCTGGTGACCTTAGTCGTGGAAATTATCCTGAAGCAGTATCAGATATAATCACCACAAAATGGCACCGATGTTGAGGACAAGAAATGGCGGCTTGCAGAAGCCAGAGGCAAGGGGAGGGCCAAGCCACAGAAGAAAATCAACAAAAGCGGGCAAGAAGGGACCTGGGATCATGTTCTTCCCACAAGGAGACGCCATCTTCGTCACCACTGGGCTCTGCCTGTGAAACACCTCCCAAGACTCACCCACGCTGCAGTTTCAACCCCTCCTTGCTCTTGAACTTGGACTCCTCCACTTCTGGATACACCAGCTTGGACAAGGCCAGAGCGCTAGGGGCGGCCATCACGGAGGCAGAGATCAAAGATGGTGCATCAATCTGTAAGGCCGGACAGGGGCTGAGCGTTTCTGTGGAACCCAGCCCGCATCCCCCATGAACAATCAGCAGACTGTGCCTACCCCAAAGGATATGAAGGCTCCCAGCACAGAGCCTGCGATGGTGGCAAACCCTCCAGTCATCACCGCGTGGATTTCAGAAAGGGTCATGTCTGCAAGGTAGGGGCGGATGAGCAGAGGTGCCTCTGTCTATAAACAAAGAGAAGACAGATTCTAAGAGGGTGTGACTCCTGCGCCAGAGTGCCCACCCCAGCCCAGGGACTGTACCCACTACACACTTAGCCCTCCACTGTGAATGCTGTCCTGGTCCAAATCTTATCCCCTGCAGTGGAGACTCAGACAGTAAGGCTGGGCGTTGCTGTGTGGCCCCCAAACTCTGCCCCTGACGCCCTCCCAGCATCTGATTCATTCCCTCTAGTCCTGTCCTGTCTTCTTCCATGTGTGTTTGTCTCGTGGTTTACACTGTGATGGAAGGTAAACGGCATACTTCCTTCGTGTTTCTCAAGGTGTAAATCCACGCACTTACTGAACAAACTTATACAATGAGTATACATTAGATGCTCGCAAAGGGTTCATTAAGTGAATTGTAAAGAGCTGATGTAAGCTAACCCTTTATGAAATAATCGAGAGAAATAATGTTTGGGTTCATGTTATGAAATTATGAAGGCCCAGTTATGTAAACTGTGCCTACCATCAACCCATGATGCTATCGTTTAATACGTGGCAACTATTAGTCTTATACTACATGCTAGGGATACTAATATGAAAAGGGCCGGTCCTACTCTTAGGAGCTTAGAGTCTAGCAGGGGAGACTAAGCTGTTTATGGATGATTTCAGCAAAGTGTGGAGGGGTCTGGGGTAGGAATACCTGAAACAGGTATCAGCCTTGGGCCTTGAGATAGAAAGACCTCCTCCATACTGATATCCTTTAGCTGATGGCCTATGATGAGGACCCACTCCTCACAGAGAAGCCACCTATTATGGGAAAGAGGCTGGTCTTCGTTTGGAACAGGATAAGCTGCTGCTCCTTGGAGACCCTGAAAACAAGGACCCCAGGGAATCATGGGAAGAAACCAAATATATCTCAAACACCCTCCTAGATCCTGAAGGGAGATAAGATGTGGACCAGAAAACCCCCTAAATTCCTGTGCATAAAGTTGGTCCGGTGACTTAGGTCACCCATGCAGATTAAGTGTGCCCACAGAAGTACTCCTGGGATGAAGGGTGACATCAGATAAACTGGGTCCTCTTAGAGCTTCTGAGAGTTCTTTCATCAGGGCTTTGCAGTCCCACAGTTTTTATTTGAGTTTCATAAAGAAGCACACTTGTCTAAACCTGTTTGCTGCCAAGTTCTCAGGTCCCCAGAGAACAGAAGACCGAAAGGCCGCAGGGTGCTTACCATCCCCACAAAGATGTTTCCTGCCACAGCCAGGGTCTCCGTGGCAGTGGTGCCCATGGTGATTTGCAAGAACCAGGCGATCTAAAAGGACACAGACATCTGCACCGTCAACATGAGCAGGGATCTTGGAGAATGTCTCCTTCTTTCTACTGACAAGGAAACTGAGGCCTAGGGAAGTAGTGTGGCACAAGGCCACAGATCAGGTTATTATCAGAGCCTGGACCAGAAGGCCTCTTGGCCTGTAAAGCAAGGATTTCAAAACTCAAGACAAAAGGGTGGTTGAACTTGGCTTCTCTGCTCTGCAGCCTACCCAGGGTCTGGGCCCACTGTTGGCTATAGTTTAGATCTTCAGTGTCCCCAAAAGCCTATGTGCTGAAGGCTTGGTCACCAGCCCATAGCACCATGGGGAAGGTAGAGCCTAGTGGTAGGAAGTTAGGTCACTGGGGAAGTGGCCATGAAGAGGACACTGGGGCCCTGACCCTTTCCTCTCTTCTTTGCTCCCTGGTCACCATGAGGTGAGTAGCTTTGCTGTACCACACTCTGCTATGATGTTCTGCCTCATCACAGGCTCCAAAACAAAAACAGTGGAGTCAGCCACCCATGGACTGAAACCTCTGAAACCATGAGCCAAGTTAAACCGTTCTTCCTCTTCAATTGATTTCCTCGGATATTTTGTCACAGCAGTGGAAGTCTGACTAACACACCACACTGGTCCTAACGCTCTACATCCCACACGGGAGCACTTCCAAAGTGTCCTCTCCATGCCCTTGGGAGATCCCAAGATGCAGGCCAACTCCTGCCTGCAGTAGGAAAGTGACTCACCTTCTGAACTACCCACTGCACGAGGCCCAGGTAGTAGAGAATGGACATCACACATCCAAAGAAAATGATGATTGGTAAGGACTGTAACGAGAACGGGGAGCAGCTGGTAAGATAGTCCCTTGTATGTGCAACGTATGCCCTGAGTAAACTGTGGATCAGGCCTTAAATTAAGCTCCCAGTATCCTATCATTGCATCAGCACTAGACCATAGATTTTTTTTTTTTGAGACTTTCTTCCCCATCCCCATTTTATCCACTTTCAGAATAGGATTAAAGGGCAAAAGATGGATACTGTTTCCTTTATTGATGGGTGAACCCCTCTTTCTCAGGGTCAAACTGTACACACATCTACGGATCACCCACTGTCACCCTGCACTGATCATCATTCCCGCCCGTAAAATAGATAGGACCTGAAAAGCAAAGGCTTCTTTGACCAGCGTATCTCCAAAGACAAAGCTGGAGCCGGCCACAGTGTAGTCCAGGAAAATCTGGAAGGGGAAAAAATACAGAGAACAAGCATGAAGCCAGGCAGGACACAGGGGAAGATGGGCACCCCGCTTGTGTGATTCGGACCTGCTGCCACTCCTGAGGCTGGCCTCCCTTTGATGGGCTGCAGCCAGGATGTGACCTCTGGAGACACTCGCTGAATGCTGGGCTCGGCAGACCAACTCCCTCCATTCATATTCTCACTTGTATCCCACTGGTCTCTGTCCTTCCCAACTGGACCTCCCACTGCCATCCTTGGCAAGACACAGCCTAATCTTCTCATGCTTCCCTTGAATCTCCTTTTTCAAGAGTTCTAAAAGAACCAAGCCCTCACCTTTAATTCCCCATACCTGGAGCTGTTCTCCCAGCCACTGAAAAGCAATGAATCCAGGTTCAGTTCTGATGACCAAGATCCCAAAGACAAACTGAAGACCCAGGCCCCAAAACACCGTCCTCCAGGACACCTAGGATCCATAAGAAAAGGATCCCAATGTGACTTCTTGACCACTGCCTGAGTAGAGTTTTAAAATTGATCCACGGACACTGGGTAGAATCAACCTGGGATGTTAACAGCACAGCTACGGTAAGATGGTATAAGGAGCAGCGTAGGAATACAGTAAGGAAAAACAGGCACTAATAAATAGACACACAAGTCCATGTGGTTTTTTAAAAAATGTATCTAGAAGTCAGATGACACTTATAATACATATATATATTTATGTGTATAAGTTTCATAAACTAATACTTTAACATTACTATGTGCAATGCAACCTAGTCCTCTATTGTATCCTATTGTCTTTCCTTCCTTCTTTCTTTTTTCCTTTTATTCTTTATTGCCAGCCTATAGCCACAAAACTTGTATCAAGACTCACTGATAGACTGCAACCTACAATTTGAAAATAAATGACCTACGACTCCTAAGAGCTTTAAAACTTCACTTAAAAACAAAACTCTTACAAGGGGAAAAAATGAGAACCAAGACCTGTCATGTAGAGGTACAAGATCCCAACAATGAATGCAACTGGACTGTATCCCTAAAATGTACCAATAAATTCAATTATTTAATTTTAAAAACCTCAGTAATAAAAACATGTCAATAATTTAAAGAAATGAAAACAAAAGAGAAACGAAACTCTTTAAGAGGCAAATTCCAAAAAAATTAAAAAAACAAAACGAAACATAGTTCTACATCCTTTGTAAAGCATATTTGACACATTTGAGGGGTGATCAAAGCCAAGGTAATACATACAGTAAAAGACAGATTGCCGTTAGCCCCCTCAAAGTACCCACCCTCACTTCATTGTTGTCACTTTCCGAAGCAGTTCTGGAAGTCTTCTTTCATGAGTGTCTTTATAAGGGCCAATAAAAAATACAGCGATTGCTGCTACAGAGCGCCTTCCAACGGGAAGGCCGGCTCACAAAAATACGACAGGTTCCTCATCTGCCTTACTCACTGGATCTGGCACCATGAGACTTCTGGCTCTTCCCCAGTGTCAAAATGACCATGAAAGGGAAATGTTTTTCAATCATTCTGAACATCAAGGCAGCCACAATAGTGCAACTAAAGACGCTCACAAAAGATAACTTCTAGAACCGCTTCAGAGAATGACAAAAACAATGGGATGAGTGTGTTCAAAGCAAGCGGGAATACTTCAAGGGGATTCATGGCAATGTGCCTTTTCCTGTAATGCATTTTTAAATTTAAACTCATGCTTGCTTTTTGGATCACACATTGTATTATGCGATTAGTACTTGACTCTTGCTGTAACCAACCTGGGTACCCACAACTCACCGCACTGTGGTGTTTGGAGCAGGCAAAGAGGATGAGGAGAAACATGCAGATTCCTGCAAAGGAGATGAGCTGCTCTGGCCTCTGTGCCGTGTCGAGAGCCAGCCACAGGACAAGGCCGACCAGTGAGACACCTGCGATCACCCTGGGAAAGGACAGGCAAGATCATGTCACCGTCTCGGTGAATCAGTAACAAGGAATTACCCCTGAAAACAGAGGCCACTCAAGGACAAGGGAAATAGTCCTTTACTTCTGATTAGACAGAGGACTGTGTCTGGAGAACCTTTCATCTAGTAGTTCCCTTGTGTCCCCCGCCACCCCGCAACTCTTCCACTCACAGAATAAAGTGGAAGGAGTCTAAACTGAGGACACGAATCACATAATTTTCTTTGCCTTAAGTTTTTGTGTCAATAAATGAGAACCAAGACCTGTCATGTAAAGGTACAAGATCCCAAGAATGAATGTAACTGTACTGTATACCTAAAAAGTACCAATAAACTCAATGAGAAAAAAAAAAAAGGACAACCAAATTGTCAGTTAAAAAAAATGTAATGCACAGATTCATTCTTTTTTATCATGGCAGAGGAAATTTATTTACCTGCAGGGTGGATTAACTCAAGTCAGAAGACAGAGGAAACATTTCTGTACATGTATTCATGGCACGCTACTCTTACATTAATAAATTTGCAGCAGCATGCCAATTTAGGCATGTGGGTATTGTATTAAGAATATTATTTGCTCATATATATGTTTAATTCCATTGATTAGGAACAGAATAACTTACTCATTTTAACTTGTTTACACATCCTGATGAAAACAGAATGAAGTTTAATGTGTGCATAATCTAATGAAATTTTATTGACTAAGAGACTCTTCTTAAAGGTTGCTCCAGTAAAGAGTCAAAATAGTAGAAACCAAAGGAGGAAAAGTACACATCGGTTCCACGAATCTCCTCCCAATCTCTAACCATCCCAAGGGCAAAAGGAAAGGCTTAGGTAGCTACAGATCAACTACTTAGGATCTCACTGCCTTTTGGGGTATCAAACACATTTGATTAATATGCAGACGTTTTCTTCATCTGAGCAGTGGAGTCTCTCAGGTCCAAGGGCAAAGAAAGAGAAAGGAGAAGTTGAATGAAAACAAAACACAAGAGCACACTGCTCATCAAAAGGCATTCACAGGTCATGACCAAAACTCGGAGCTCTTCTCACTGGAAATCTAGTTTACTTAAAAGTGAAGAAAATCTGGCTTCCAGAATCTATCTTATTAAAGAGCAAAGTCATTGCAGCTCTCTCTCCCCAGTATCTAATAAATCAGTAACCCCAAATTTAGACGGTGTGATTTCTCCAGTGTCTCTGTTGCAGACACCCTTAACCCCTGCTTTCTGTGTGTCCACTGAAGTCATGCTTAGTGGACGATCTGAGATGGACACATGCAGGACACAGAGGAGCTGCTTGGAATCCGGTTTTGGTATGTACTGAGTAATAAGCTTGCTTCTTAAATTCCAAGGGACTGTAAAAGCCATCAGTGGGCGGAGGAGCTGTGGAAGACTAGACAGGGAAAGGCATAAAAATATCAGGGATCTAAGGGAGACACAGAGGACCACCAAACTAACTGGATAACAGCGCAACTGCAAGCCTCTGTTCTCTGATAACTTCCTTGGAGAGAAGCTTGGTTTTTCTCCTTTCTGACACGGGCCTGACATTAAACAGACTGAAACTCTTCTCCAGAACTGAACCCGTCTGGTGCCCCAGCAATGTTGAGGCCCAAGGCTACAAGACCCGGCTGAGCCTCAGCCCGCAGGGGCGCAGTGCTGCTCTCTGCCTTCTGCCCTTTGGTTTTGCGCAGTCAGGTGAGGGCCTGAGAGACCGTTCAGGAACTGTCAGAGGAGAAGAAGTAGAAGCAGGCTGGGGTTCTGGATGAGTCGTGGGGCCAGGGCTATTGAGATCCTTCTCTTACCACTTCATCCAGACTTGCAGGCGAGAGTGTTTCAAGGGCTTCAGACATCTGCTTAGTTTTTTACCGAAGAACTTTTGCAGGAAGTGGTGAGCCAGGACAAAGACCACCAAGCAGGTGATGACAAACAAGGCCAGCGCCCTGTGGAAATCCAGGATGCACGCTGCCAGGAAGTAGGCGGTGTACGCTAAAAAGAGAAGGAAGGTGAGCTCCTATCTGGTATTCCTTCTCCATCCCTTGGAGTAGATTCCATGAGCCACGACCATGGCGAGCCTGTCCGAAAGCCATCCGTCTCCTTTTGAACCTGCATCACCCCAGTCCCGTTCAAAGGTCAGAATGTTAAACTTTCCTGTCGGGCAAAAGCCATGTAAATGCAGGGCTGAGGGGTAGCTCCGAGGTAGAGCACTTGCCTGGGATGGGAGGACAGGTGGATCCTCCCCATCGCCAGACAACAACAGTAACAAAAAATCATGTGAATAAGGCGACCACGAGGAAGGATCAGCGATATGGCCGTCACCCTCCCTTCCCCACCCAAAATGTAACTTTTGTTGTCACCATCCAGCTGCGTCTCATGTTGACGCCAAAACCCTGGACATTGCTGACAGTTCATTCTAAACAGAGGTTTGCTGTCTTTTAAAAGTATTTTATATCAGTGATTTTACTGTAAACCAGCAACTACATAATGTAGACTTCAGGCTCCCCTCATAAAGACTGCAGGAAATTGTGCCCTGCATGAAATCAAGACACGAAAAGGGACATAAGCCCTTTTTCCCTGAAATATTTCAAATCTGTCACCTACTACAGTTTTGAAAACTATTTTATTGTGAAACTTTACTTGCTCCTGGAGGTGCAATTGAATAAATTATGGTTTTCCTGCAAGGAGTGAAGATCCATACATCAAATAGCCTTTGGGCCACTTGGAGAATACAATTGCTTTCCCCCTAGTAAGCATCCCGCCGCCAGGTGACGGGTGCTCTAAAGCCACTGTGCTTCTCACAACATGAATTCTCATTCGCTCACCCAAACACAAGAGGCCCACCAGGATCTTCTTGAACAGTCCGGCGTGTCTTGCACAGAAACTCCGTGTCTTAATGAAAGGCTGTAGATTCCTCCTGATGAGAACCCGCAATTAAAACACAAGAATGACACTGCATCCCATGTACAGTGAACCTCGGAACTTACATTACCTGGCCAAAGGTACAACCTGCTCCTTACTCAATGAAGACAACTCTTCAGCCGGGGGAAGTTGAGAAGCGCCCGGCTGTGCCCGAGAGGCCGCAGTCAGAGTGGCCCTGCTCAGCCTGGACCAGCGACACCCTTGACGGTGTCCCACCAAGGAAGCGGGCTGAGAAGATCAGGGATCTACTCTTCCCCTGTCGCCGAAGGACAGGTATTGCTCAGCTTCCGTAATTCAGAAGAGAGCCTGTTCTTCTTAGAGGCAATTTGGCTATCCCTTCCTAAAAGCCACACAGGCCCGTACTCTTTAACAGTCAAGTGTGTGCTCACAGGAAGGAAAACACCACCGACCTCAGGATTCCCCGGGCGGGCAGGCCTGAGAGATACCCAGCAAGTCCTTTGCATGTGCTGGTTCTGAGGACTTCGCAAACGCTACCTCACCGACTCCTCTAAGAAAGACAGATGCTACGCAGCCCTCACAGAGGCTGTGAGGATCAGGGGTGGCATATGATCTCCAGCAGCCTGGCTTCTGACACTGAGCTCTAACCATCACCCCACGCTGCATCTCCCCTAGACCCCAGGCTCAACCGTCTTTGCACATCTGCACATCTGCAGCACTCTGCAGCCAGGCGAGCAGAAAGCTCTCATTTCCAAACCCTTGGAAGCTCCAGAGAAGGTGAGCCCAGTAAGAAGGTCCCAGCTGGGCATCAGGCTGAGGCAGGACAGCTTAGCCAGGGCTGGGACCAGCCAGCCACTGACGCCCCATGTCCTGGGGTCTTCACTCTCGGGGCCTTTCTCCCGTGTAGCAGACCTTCTGCTCCTGCTTTCCAACCCCGCCCCCACCCCTTCCTTCCCCACTTTAGGGGGACAGCCCAGCCCCGTGTTACCTGAGCTAAGTGTGGATTATCAGATACAGGTAAGCTGAGGCAGGAGAGAGCTAAGTGTGTGCGTGCGTGTGTACACATGGCTTTGCGGAGAGGCGTCCCTGCGTCTGAGCCTAGCGTCATCTTTGCAACAGCATTCAAAGCTGCAGCAAGGGGATGGACTTAATCTCAACCCCAGAATTCGTGTGTGCCTCCAGCCCGTGTGGACAGCGCCCATGGACCCCACACCCTCTGGCTTATTAAGTTGGGTTCTCCAGGGAGACCCCGTGGAGCCAGGGAAGGGGATGCCTGGGGTCAGCGCACTGAGGAGGAAGGTCTTGCCTGGCTCCTGCATCTGAGTTCTCCTGCAAATCGTCCCTTCGGCCTCGGAATAGTAACTGTTCACTACTTCGAACCTTATATCCCTTCTCCTGGGTTCTACTATGCCTCACACATCTTTGTCATGGTCTCTTTTAAACAAAGCCTCCTCCAGTTACCCTAACCTGAGTACCCTACCTCTCTCCTGCTAGGACCCAGCCTGATACACCAGGTGAATCTGATTTAAAATTACACCCAATCACGTGCTGGTCAAACAAGAGGAGACATGCACTGGTCCAGGCATTAATAGAAATCCCAGGCCTCAGTAACAGTGCTGCCGTCACCTCCTGACCGTAGAGCCGCCATTTCCTGGAAACCAAGCCAAGTCCAGTGGGTACTTGAAGAAACCAATTAAGTCTATTCATTTAGGTAAAATCTATGAGTAACGCGATCCTAGAATATCAGCTTGGAACTGGGTCTCTGGTTGAGAAAAAAAAAAATCCATGAGTAGGAGGTATTCCAAAGGAAGCAGATAAAACAAGATTTCTCACCCTGTTGAAGCCGCTGAGAAGCAGCACACTGAAATACAGTCATGAATGTGGCAAGGTCTTGCTAAAACTGCCAAGCTCTTTACGTCATGTTCATGGTACAGTTTGAGCACCAGTGTCTAATAGGAAGCTGAACTGAAAGAAATCTAGCTGAGAGGTGGTGAATTCTGGTTCCCTACCCATGACCTGCTGGGAAGTACGTACCCCCGGACAAGGGCTCTGGTGCATGTGTGGGAGGCAGTGTGTGTACGTGTGGCTGCAGGCTACTGACAGCCCTGTCACGTACATGCTTACTGCCTGCAGCCCATGGGACAGGTGGGACATCCTGGTGAATGTGACTTCAGGCCTAGCAGCAAAGGACGTGAGTGCACGTCCTCAGTGGCCCCATCTACAAGATGTGGAAATTCTCCCAACCAAGGGACATGGAGCTCTTGGGACTGAAAGGGGCTGACTGGGCCGTTAAAATGGAAAGCTCGGCCAGCCTTTAGAGGACCCAGCTCCAGGGAATATGGGCAGCGTGGTCTTGGGTGAGTCTTTGCTGCTGAAGCTTGAAGCAAAACACTAAAACAAAGAAATGAGTTGAGCCAGGACCAAACAGTGGTACGCATGAGAGCAGAAGTGAGCAATTTTAAAGGATTCAAGGTTTTATTTTGATGATGGCATAAAAAGAATTTGTCAGTGGATACTGTATCGATGCCACGTCGCCAGATTCAAATCTGCTGCATGTACAGCTGAATTGAAGGAGCTGGGTGATGTCATGCAGGGACTAGAAAGAGATCAAAAAGTGTCCAAGGATAATGGAAACAGCTTTCGGAGCAAAAGTATGTGAAGAGTCAAGGTAGAGCCAGCATGGTGGCATAAGCCTATAATCCCAGCACTAGGAAGGCTGAGGCAGGATGATCACTGCGAGTTTGAGACCAGTCTGGGCTACATTGTGAGTTCTAGGTCAGTCTCAACTACATAGTGAGACCCTCTCTCAAAAAACAAAAACAAACAAAAAAAAGAGTCAAGGTAGAAAACCAACTGGGGTTAAGGAGCCAGGGAAAGCAGGGGAAAGGACTCTCAGGAGGCAGCCAGCTGACTTAAATTGGAGGCAGAGGCTCCATGTGTGGGAACAGCCAGTTCTGAGGGCCTTCACCCAGCAGAGGGACCCTTACCCATAACACAGCCAGGGACTTCACTGCGGACATGTGGCGCTTGTTGCCTTGGAAAGAGCTCTGGGCAGCACCCACAGCTCCTATCAGATGACCGCAAACATCAGATCTTCCTCACACTGATGTGGAGCCGGAGGCCAGAGGCCCACACAGACGGTGGGGCTTCCGGCAGGCCATGCAACCCACCCTCCACTTCCTCCTTCCAGAATTCTTAGGTCTCCAAGTTCGAGGCAGCAGAGGTTCTGACCAGCAGTGAGGCTTCCCAGAGCAGGTGCTCTCTTGACTATGCCTCCAGTGGACTTTTCGGGCCAAGCCCTTTAGTAGTAATTCTGCAGCAAGCAAAATTTGTCTAGGTTTTCAGAATATGACTAATACCCACTGTGGACTTCCTGTGATGATACAGTTTGTCCCTATTTACAAATCCTTTAATGGCTTTAGTGGGAATCTGAGGGCTGAGGAGCTCTTGCTACTTTGGCTGCTAAGAGTAGGATTAGGCAATAATGGAAAAAAATGGGGCCCAGCCTGGATGGGTCACCTGAAATTCTGCACTTGGGACTTGCACTGATATACAGCATAGGCCCGGGGCAGCTTTTCAGATCTTCTGCCCAGGAAATGACGTCACTGGTACCCGCCAAATTTTCTCCTCACCCCCACCTGTCCATGTCATCCCTGCCCCTCCAACCAGGAAGTCAGAAGACTCATCTTGTAGGACAATCAAGAGAGGCAGTTGACTCAGTAGGAGCAGACGTGGAGCTGGAAGAAGCCAGAGAAAGAAATGGCTTTCAGAGAGCAGGGAAGGTAGATGATACTGCGTTACACAGAGAAAGCATAGCGTGACGATTTGACAGTGAAGAGGTGACTGGTCATGTTTCCAGGAGAATGACCGAGTGCAAAGTGAATTCCAAGAGACGAAGGGGTGACTGTGAGCACACAGGGGCTTATTAAAACGTCTTCCTGTGAAGACAAGAGCCAGGGACAGCTTACCAGGGACAGCAAAGCCTCCTCCGCCATCTTCCCAGAACGCCACAGGGTTACCAGGGTTACCAGGGTTACAAGTTTAGAAGCAAGGACACCGGTCCGCCAGCAGGCGGCAGTGTTGGGGTTTTAAATCCAGATTCACCCTTTCCTCCAAATCGCTTCTAGTTGCAGACAAAAGGTTACATTCTAGAGGGAGCATGCCGGAATCCCAAAGTTCGGAATGCCGAGAAAGCAGAGGAGAAGGAACCGATTTTACCATGCTTGTGAAAATCCGTTTCACAACGGAGAAGACAGACGAAAGGAAGTGGACACGTTGCAGGGAGGTAGAGGGGTTGGAGCCTCTAGAGCAGGAAATGATGCTTGATGAGTCTCACATTTTGGAAATAAGAATGAGATTCTTTGTCTCTGGGAGATGGAGGATAGAAGAAAGCAAACCTGGGAAGAAGGATCGATGCCTGGTCATGTCGACAGCAGACGGGCACTTTAGAAAGATCGCCCTGGACCCGGAAGCAGTGGGTGCTGGGAAGGGGCAACGGATGCACGAGCGACCCAGATCGGAAGGGGAACCGGGTGAGTGAGCGGGGTGGGGTGGGGCCAGAGGACTGCAGCGCCGCGGAAGAGCAGGTGCCTAGCTTCTGTGAGGCCCCGGGACCCATTCCACCCGGCAAAAATAAAATGAAAAGGAGCCGAGCACGGTGGTTGGTACACGCCTGTAACCCCAGCTTTCTGGGAGGCTGAGGCAGGAGGATCCCAAGTTCAAGGCCAGCCTGGGGAAATTAGACGGTTAGTGAAAAGGAAAGGCCGAGAGAGAAAGCCAGGAGGAAGCTGACTACAAAGGAGGTTGGCTGAGCCCGCAGCCAGGGCAGAGAAAGCAGAGGATGAGTGAAGAGACAGCAGCCGACGCACGCCCGGGAGCGCAGTCACCGCTCAGGGTTGGCTGTGAGCGGACTGAGGACGCTCCCGCCGCTCACGAGGCCCCACGCATCCTCTCGGTCTGTGGGACCAGCACCACACCCTCCCCTGCGCGGAGGCCTCTTGTCGTGCGGTGTCCTTGGCCTGCTGGGCCCTGGCTGTCGCGCTTTAGTCTGCAACCCCTTCCGGCTGTGCCTCTGGCTGTGCGCGAAGCCTTGGCTGCGGCTGGGGGCCGGCTCGGTGGTGCAGCACCCCCCTAGCAGGAGTGAGGCCCTGGGTTCACACACACGCACACCCAGGGCTCCTGCGGGTCAGAAGGGCACTGGCAGAGGTGCCCGGTGACCCGGTGAGGGGGCCAGGATGGTGAAAACGAGACTGCACCCGACTAGAAGTGAATGAACATCACATGGAGCCTGCTTGCCGTGCAACTTGACCATGAAGGCCAAGACTGGTTTGTTCCCTGCAAAAGGAAGAAACTTGTGTACAGTTACACACTGGGGAATCGTCTGAGGAAGGAGAGGCTGGTGACGGGGCAAAACGACGGCCAAGAGGAGCGGGAAGCGGGTGTTCTGCTAGCACGTGTGAGGCTTTGGTCCCCAGCACTGGAGGGAGGAGGTGGAGGAGGAGGAGGAGGAGAAAGAGTAGCAAAGAGCTTGGCTTCTGAGTCAAAGAGGGAGGACATTTTGCTAAAGAAGGGGAAAAAAATAAGTATTCATGCAGGCGCAGATATATTTAAATTGGAGGATTTGGGAAGACAATGTTTTTAATAAATAATAATAGTGTAGTGTCGCACTTATGATATATATAGGAAGTAAAATGCAATTATAGGATGAAAGCTAGAAGAGAAGAGGTAAAGTCTACTATTATAAGGCTCTGATACTCTATAGCAGTGATGGCGAACCTTTTAGAGCTTGCAATGATACAAACAGCTCACTGGGGCAGGAGTGCTATGGGTTCGCCACCTCTGCTCTGTAGTAATGGGTAATAGTACCATTTGAGGTAGACTCGGTAAGTTAAAGAAGTCACTACAAACCCTAAAGCAACCACTAATAAAACAAAGGTTATGGCTAATATCCCACAAAAAAGATAATGAGGACTGGCGGTTTAGCTCAGTGGTCCCACTGCCTGCCTTGCAAGCCCAAGGTCCCGAGTTTGATCCCCAGTACCAAATAAAATAAAATAATTTAAAAATAGTCACTTAATGTGAAAAAAGGCATAAAAAGAGACACGAAGAACAAAGGACAGATGAGACAAAAAACAAATATCAACATGACAGATTAATCCATTAAATGCAGTTGGCCTAAAGAGTCCAATTAAAAAGAAACTGGCAGATTTGATGAAAAGCAAGAAAGAGACTGTTCCTTTTCTGAGAAACAAAGAAAAAGGACAAAGGCAAGCAAATAATACAGTAATATTATAAGTGGTATGGGAATGATGAATGAGAAAATTGATGATAGAAAAAAACACTTGATCTTCAAGAAAGAAACGATATTAAAGAGGTGGTGCACGCCTATAATCTCAGCACTCTGGGAGGCTGAGGCAGGAGGATCAAAAGTTTGAGCCCAGCCTAGGCAATTTAGTGACCTGTCAAGACTCTGTCTCAAAACACAAAGTGAAAACAGGACTGGGATGTAGTTTGGTATGAAGGCCCCAGTTTCAATCCCCAGTACCACCAAAAGGAAAGATAGGGAGAGAAATGATAAAGAGAAGGAAAGAAGGAAAGAAGGAAACTGGATCCTATGCTAATTAGCAGCCGGGATGGCCGTGGGAATGGTAAGAAAAGTAGATTACGCAGGACTGGAAATTTGAAAATATTAGTTTTATTTATTAATTTATTTTTATTTGCAATACTGGGGATTGAACAAGAATGTCAGTTTTAAAATGAACTCTTAAAGAAAACGAGCAGAAGCGTCGTAGTGGAAAAGACAAGTGCAGCCCAGGCGGGAAGGCTCAGGAGTCCAGTCCGGGGCCGGGGTTCCGCTTTTACCGTCCTGAGCCATGACTGCGTAACTGGGCTCTGCGAATTCAAGGCTTCCCCGGAAAAACTCAGCCCCCGTCACCCCCGGGCTTTGCTCCCAGGGTGCTGTTCTTGTTGCCCCTCTGGCCACCCACCCGCCTCTCTCTCTCTGACAGCACCAGCTCCTTCCTCTCTCAACCCCCGGATGTAACCAGGCTCACGGCAACTTAGAAACCGGCACCCAGCACCACCACCAACCTCTTCTGAGATTTCGAACCTGCCCTGGATGGTTGTGTTTCACTCAGTTGCTGGGAGGAATGGGCTGGCTGAGAAGCAGCAATGGAAAGAAAGGAGATAGAATCGGCTTGTGTTGGGTTAGAGTAAGGGTTTCTGAGCAACTGAGCACAGGTAAGAGGTGGGAGGCCAGGGTTTGGCTGTCCAGAGTAGCACTGGCGCAGAATCCATCCTGCCTCCTTTCCTTTCCTCCGTAAAACCCCTGTGGCTCCCTAGTACAAGACCAGACTCCTCAGGCTGGTGTACATATCCCAGCCAGCGCGTCCCTCTTGTGCCTCTCTGCCCAACTCTTTCTCCCTACACAACCTGAAATCAGCCACACTGGAAGTATTTACCCGGCAGGTAAGTGTCACACAGGAGGCCTGATTTATCATTCCCTTTATACCAAAGATCACGGGACTCGGAGGGCCACGTCTGTCACCTTCAATTTTATAAATAAAACTTTATTCAAACACAGCTATCCCCACCTGTTCCACGTTCCCTGTGCCTCCTTCCCACTGAAGTGCTAGAGCTGAGTAAGTGCCTTCCCACTGAGCTGCATCCCTGGCCTATTTTAGTTTATTCTGTCTTATTTTGTGATGCACGGAGTCTCACTAAGTTGCTAAGCTGCCCCATTTGGGCTCAAACGCGCAATCCTCCTGTCTCAGCGCCCCAAAGTCCTGGGATTATAGGCATGTGCCACTATGCCCAGATAAAGCAGGAAATATTATAGAAGCATGAAAAACTGACGAAGTTTTCATTGTCAACTCATAAAAATGTTAAATATAAAATAAGTGGAAACCGAAAGTACAGTGGTAATATCCACATTGAGATATAGCAATTGATTTTTTTTACATAAAAATGTACACAGAGAAACAGATTGTGGAGAAGAAAACCGAATTTGAAGGCATAAGAAGTCACTCGGGTAACTCTTAAACATAAAGAGTGAAAAGGAAGTGTTGGGGGCAGGCCTGTGTGGTAACCACACACCCTTCCTACAAACCACCCGATATTCTAGGCCCCCTTAGGCAACGCCTGCACCTTTTCGTAGACCCAGGCCTTTTCCACACAGGGAACACGGCCTCCAACGGACTTATTTACCAGCAACGTTTGAGCATTAAGTCTGAGACTGGATCCATGATCAGCTTTAAGGGTTTCTCTCACTCCTCCCTCGGCCATTAGTCACCTAACTACAGACTGGGTCTTTCTTTGCTTTCTTCCTTCTTTTTTCCTTTGCGCGCCCCCACCCCTTTCAGGACTGGGATTGAAGCTAGGGCCCGGCACACACTGAGAAGCACTCTCCCACTGAACTGAATCCCAGCGCTGCCTTTTTTTTTAAGACTCTGTTGATTTCCAAGAGAGATCCTCCTGCCTCAGCTTCCCAGCTCTTTGATTCATCATCCTTTTGTCTCTTTCCCCTGGATTGTCTTTTCCCACCATTTCTAAATAAAAGTATTCCAGAAAGATATTTTTAATTACTATGGGAAAGTTAATTTCTAAGCGTCTATTTTCTAATTTAATGAAAGGTGTTAAAATTATAACACCTGGGCCAGGGATTTAGCTTAGTGGTTCTGCCACCTACCTCGCAAGTGCAAGGACCTGAGCTTGATCCCCTGTACCAAAAAAAAAAAAAGTAGTAACACCTGTTGTGAAAAATTCAGTTACATACACTGCACAACAGTAAGCACTCAAGAGACATCTGTCACATTCATCCAATGCTAATGAACTTGTTTATGGCACAGGGTTTTGCTTGTTTTAGGGGAGCTGTTTTGTTATTTTGGTTTTGGTGTTTTGAGACAGCATCTTGCTATGTAGTCTGGCTGACCTTGAACTCACTGCAGAGCCCAGGCTGGCTTCAAACTCATAGCCCTCCTGCCTCAGCCTCCCAAGTGCTGGGATCGCACAGATAACATAAATAAATAGAAATAGAAATACAGGGGCGCGGGCGGTTGTGGTCTCATCTCCAAACAAGACTTGGGCTCGGTGTGATCTTGGCTCGCCCAGCGCCCCCACACCCCGGGCCCTCCCGGAACGGACTCTGGGACCCCGTACCTCTGCTGAGGCTCTGGCACTGCGGTCCTCTGGGTTCCCCCGGGATCTGCGCCTTCTTCCTGTGAGCACAGGTAGAACTGGGTCACCTCACAGAGCCCTGCCACACGCCATGGGGATCAGGGGCGGCCGGAGGAGCGGCCGCCACACGGGGCAGGGGCGCTGGTGGTTACCGTGAGTTCCAGACCCGGGTTCTCCACGCCGCGCTCCACCTTGGACAGAGTAACGGCCTCTCCTGCCCTGGCTGCGTCCATCTTCCGGCCTCATCTGAGAAACCGTTCAGAGCCGTGGCTGAAAGACGGACCCTTCTGTCATGTGGCCGTGGCGAGAATTTCTAGGGCCGCCTACTGGCCGGGAACGAAAAACTCAATCCTTTGCTTTCTTTAATAAAAAGAATGGGGCTCAGGGATTTAGCTCAGTGGATCCGCTGCCTGCCTCACAAGGTCTTGAGTTCAATCCCCAGTACCAAAAACAAAGAAACAAACAATATAAAGGGCCAGGGATTTAGCTCAGTGGTGCCACTATCTGCCTCGAAAGCACAGGGACCCAAGTTCGACCAAGCGGTACCAGAGAGAGAGAGAGAGAGGGAGGGAATGGGCTGGATGTGGTGGCGCACATGCAGGTTTAAGGCCAGCCTTCACTACGTAGTGAATTCGAGCCCAGCCTGAATTCGAGCCCAGCCTGAATTACACAGCAAGATCTTGTCACTAAAAAAATCAAAACAAACAAACAAAAAAATGGCCCTGTTCACACCCTGCACAGAAGGGTCCTGCCGGGTACGGTGGCTCAAGGCTACGATCTGAGTCCTCAGGAGGCTGAGGCAGGAAGCTCACCATGAGTTCGAGGCCAGCCTGAAGTGCGTGTGAGACCTTGTCTCCAAAGACAACAGCAACAACAAAAAAAGTGTTGAGCTGTAGTTGCTCTTTTTTCCTGGGGGAAACCCCCCTGCCCCAGGCTGGGTAAGGAAACAGAGAAAAGAGAGCTGAGAAAACCCCAGGTCCCAAAACACTGCCCACAAAACAGACAAGCAGACCTTCAACTTCCGGACCACAACGGGCACCAGCATAAGCATCATTTTGGGAGCATCAGAAAGAGGCCCTTGGAGTTCAGTGAGGAAGCCGGCATGGAGAACAATCAGCACGAACATCAGTGATCCCAGAGAAGAAAAGGTTTAAAACAAAGGAAGGGAACTTAAGCAAACATCTGAGCCTCCTGATGACACAGGAACGGTCATGTCTGGGGTAAACGTTCCTCTTGAGCCATCTCCTTACTGGGAGGAAACTTCCCTTTCTTATGAAATTGCCTTTTAAGAAGTTTGATAGCTTCCACCGGTGACGTCTCTAAGCACCAACAGCCAATTCCTGTGGTGTAAGTGAGGGCCTCCCCGTCTGGGAACAGAACTACCTGAATCTTGTCTCGCTCTGACCTACGAAGCAAACTGGCAAATCTGGGTCCCAGCTGTCCCCGACCCTCACTTACCCCTGGGTGTGGATTCCTCGGGCTCTTCCGGGCATGACCAGAGAAATCCCAGGCTGTGCGGGACGGGATGGGCACCCCGTCACTGGCTGGGCCCCTATCTTGTCCCCTCCTCCTTCACATGCTGCTTTGCTCTCTGGGAGCAAGGAGACTCTCGAGTTAATGATTTGTAGGGATCTAAGTCTCCTCAGCAGGTCTGGGACTTCTCCAGGAACTCCTAATAGGCACACGCCTTGTGCATCTCAGGTCTAGGATCTGGGTAGTGTAGAAGGGAAAGTCTCTGCGTTCAGAAATTTCACCGTTTTGTGTGGAAAGGCGCTTCCTAGAAAACAGCAGGAAGCAGGCTGGGTGTGGTGGCGCATGCCTGTAATCCCAGCACTTGGGAGGCTGAGGCAGGAGAGTCACTGTGAGTTCAAGACCAGCCTGGACTACACAGTGAGCTCCAGGGTAGTCTCAAGTACATAGTGAGACCCTGCCTCAAAAAGAAGAAGAAAGAAAGAAAACAGAAAGCAGAAGTCTTCGTGGGTCAGTGCCCAGAGACTGTTCTGGGAATTCCGTTAGCAATCCATTTGACCAATGTTATGAGTATTTGCTAAGTTCCCAGGAAGCTGTCTGGGCTGCTGAGGACACAGGAGACAAAATAGTCCCGGTGAAGCTGTAACCACCGAAGAGGGAGGATGGAAAGGGACAGAGGGTGATAGGTCAGGCACGGAGAAAATGAGGGAAAGGAGGGAAGATCGGTTTTCAAAATTGTCAGGGTCTTAGTGTAGAGCATGTGTTCAGAGTGTGTGAGACCCTGGGTCCAATCCTCAGCACGATTCCAAATGATCTTGTTTCTGGCTGCTTCTACCCTCCGGCAAAGCTTCTCTGCCTCCTGCTCCCTAAACACCCAGTGCTCGCTTGCACCCTTGGGACTGTTAGTTGTTCCTTCTGCCTCTGATCCTCCACCCTGATTCACCCACCGAGGAACCCCTGGGGCAAGGCTGCCTCTTCCAGGATGCTCGGTGACTCACCAGTCAAGACCCAGGACCCAGGACCCAGCCCCTGCACTCCAGCCTCTCCTCGTCCTTGTGGATCTCATCCCACCACACAGGGACATCCTGGCTCCTTCTGTGCTGACCTCCCTGGCTTGGGGCTGACCTATTATTAGGAAATCGACAAATATTTGCAAAAGAAGGGCTCACACCAACATCACCACAGGACTCTGGCTTGGATTATTTGGTATCAGGTGCTGAGTCCAATCACCAGAATAAGGACATCTTTTCTTTTCTTTTTTGGGGGGAGGGGTACCGGGGATCGAACTCAGGACCTTGCACTTTCGAGGCAGGCAGCGGAATCACTAAGCTACAGCCCAAGGACATCTATTTCTATTCCCTAGTTCCTTGTGCAGACACACACACACACACACACACACACACACACACACACTCCCAGAGCAAGTGTACATTGGATCCCAGCCCCCTTCTGTCTTTCCTGTCCTGTCTGCTGCTATCTCTCAAGGTTATGCTGAAAATTCAACAATTTTAGATAGAAGAAATACTCTGGACAATTGTAGGCGATCTGGTAACTGAGGGAGAGAGTAGAAGATCCTACCCTCAGCTCCTCAGGAAGATAAGACAGTGTTGAGGGCAGGCCTGCTCACGGGCACTGGCAGGGTGAAGTCTGGCTGTCACCACAGTGTGACGGTCGCTCATTCTGTGTCTGTCTGTCTGTCTGTCTGTCTCTCTCATTTTTACCTTAAATACCTGTCCGTTCTGGACTGGGTCCAGACATAATGATAGGCACAGAGCACGGTGCTCTGTCCCAGGGAACGATGCCTCTCTCTCCTCTCGCCCACTTCCTTTTCCTGAGGAAGGCACAAAACCCACAGCTTTGTCGTCTGGTTGCAGGCCACTCTTCTCCTGGCAGCCGGGGCCCGACGCCGTCCTGGAGCCCGGAGGCTGCTCATGGAACAGGAGGGAGCCACACAAACCTGCTGGGCAGCAGCCGGGCAGAGGAGTGGATGGTGCTGCTTTCCTGCCTCTATCCCTCCTTGGATTACTACAAGGACTTCCGGTTGGGGTCTTAAGAGAGTGGTTGCTTTTCTCTACCCCTCCCGCTGCAAACAGCTAAAAGGGCTGAACAAGATGCACAAAGCGTCAGCCGGCAGGTGTCACAGAGCGACTGACAGGGGCAGAAGTAGGGTCCTGCACCGAAGGGAAGTCTGAGACTTGTGCCCCACTTTCATCCTGGCTCTGTTATGATTATTATTAGGATTAGGATGAGTACCACTACTACGACTGTTGTTATTTTGGTGCCAGGAACTGAACTTCATTTAAGATTTAAGAAAAACCAGACATGGTGACTCATGCCTATAATCGCAGTACTCAGGAGGCTGAGGCAGGAAGATCTCGAAAGTTTGAGGCCAACCTAGGCTAGATAGCGAGTTCAAGGCCAGCCTGAACTACACAGTGAGACCTTGCCTCAAAAAACAACAAAGACTTCAGAAGAAATAGCTACATTAGTACTGTATCTCTTTAAAAATTGTATTTATACTTTTTAAAACCTGACAACAAAGAACTCTCCATACCCACATGGCTTTAAATATTCAAATTCTAGCAAGTAGGTAAGGGAGAAATAAGACTAGTTTTCATAAACTCTGCCAGAACACAGAGGAGAAAGGAAGCTGATGTCTCAGTAGGAGGCCAGCATTAATTACCCTACACAAAAGCCAGGTAGAGACATAAAAGAAAAGAAATCTCTCTGAGAACATAAATGGAAAAAAATCCTCAGGAAAACAACAGCAAATCCAAGCCAGTGATACAGAAAGTGTATCAAAACCAAGATTATCCTAGGCATAGAGGGCTGTTCAACATTTGAAAATTAATGCCATTTGCCACAGCAACAGACTAAAGGAGAAAAGCCATATTCCTTTCATCCCATATATGCAGAAAGTGGTTTGTAAAGTCTATGTTTATTTAAAAACTTTTATTAAACTGGCCAAAAAAAGGCAATTTCTTCAATTCCAAATGGAGGCGTCGACAACAAAACCTTACAGCTAATATCTTATTTATTTATTTGCTAATTTTTTGCTTATTTGTTTGTTGGTTTGGAGTTTGGGTCTTGCTTCATTGGCCGGATTGCTCTCTAACTTCTGGGCTCAAGGGATCCTTCTGCCTCAGCCTACCCAGTAGCTAGGACCAGCTAGCCCAGCTCACCCTCATTTTTAACAGTGAAAAGTGAAAGTGTTCCAGCTCAGATCAGGCTCAGGGTTGTCTGCGTGCATCGTGAGGTCTTGGCATGTGTAATGAAAGAAGAAAACGCCCAAACACAGAAATGGCTCACAAGACACAGAAAAGGGAGAGAGGAAATAAAGTTGTCTTCATTCACAGACAACATGATTGCTTATGGATAAAATCTCCAAGCATTTACCCTAAAAGACAAGCCCTACCAGAATTAATAAGAAAGGAACTAAGTCACAGGATACAAGGTCAGTAAACAAAATTCCGTCTCATTTCTGTACTCCAGCAATGAACCACTGAAAATTGAAACAAAAACATTTATAAGAGTAACAAAAAGCATGAAATACTTCGGTTTAAATGCAACAAATAAAAAGGGGACTATGCCGAAAACTCTAAGACTCTAAAAAAGGAAACCAAAGCAGTCCAGTAAACGGACACATAAGCCTCGCTCATAAATTAGAAAACTCATGTATTAAAATACCAAGTCTTCCCAGAATGGTCTACATGCTCAAATCAATCCCAATCAAAATCCCAACGGGACGTTTTTGTCAAAATTAACGAACAGAGCCGGGTGTGCTGGTGCACACCTGTAATGCCAGCATTTGGGAGGCTGAGGCAGGAGGATTGCTGTGATTTCAAGGCAACCTGGGATATTCAGTGAGACCCTGCCTCAAAAAGAAAAAAAAATTAACAAACAAACTAAACTTTACGTGGAAAGTCAAAGACAAAAGCCGGGTCAACACGATCTGGCAAAGAGCGAGACTGAAGCCCTTCCACGGCCCGGGGCCAAGGCCGGGTCCTGTGACTGACGGTGTCCTCCGGACGCTCCCTCACCGAGGCCCCCACCCGCCTTTGGAGACACGGCCTTCAGGAGTCCTGGGGCTGCTCTGAGGCTGAGGACAGGCAGAGGACAGGAAGAGAGAGAACCTGTGAACGCGCGAACATGGAGGAGCAGCTGCGGCGCAGGAAGGAGGTGGCGTGTGCCCGAGGGACGAGGCCCCCACAGAGGCTCGGCGCTACCTCCCGGAGTGGAGAGCGAGGACTGCGGCGCTGACGGCGCCCCGCGTGTCTGGCTGGGGCTGAGACGCACACTCACACACACACACACACACTCCAGACACACACACTCACATGACGCATTCACACACACACACTGGCACACACTCACACACATACACACCCTGGGAAGGGACGGAAATGGAAGGGGTGGGGAGGGACAAAGGAAGGAAGAAGGAGAGAGGGAGGATGGGAAAGAGAAAGGAAGATGAACTGCACGTGGTGGGGTACACCTGTAACCCCAGCACTCGGGAGGCTGAGGCAGGAGGATCGCTGCAAGTTCAAGACCAGCCTGGGCTACATAGTGAGTTCCAGGGCAGTCTCAACTACATAGTGAAACCCTGTCTCAAACAAAACAAAAACAAAAACAAAAACAAAAAAAAAGAAGAAAAGAAAAGAAGGAAGGAAGGAAGGAAAGAAGAGAAAAGCTGGAACTCCACTGGGTTTGGCAGTGCAGGCCTGGAAATCCCAGCATTCTGGGAGGCTGAAGCAAGTTCTTCTGGAAACTGTAAAACTTCTATGGGGGGAAAGAAACTCTGGGAAAAACAGCTGTGACCTTGGGTTAGGCAGACTTTTTTTTTAAGATACACTAGAGGGCAGGGGATTTGCTCAGTGGTTCCGCAGCCTGCCCAGCAAGTGCAAGAGCCCGAGTTCGATCTCCAGGACCAAAAACACAAAAACAAACAAACCAAAAAAATACAAACACAACCCATAAAGAAAAACTCATACTTTGGGCTTCAGCAAAGCTAAGAACTTCTGCTCTCCAAAAGACACCGTAAAAAGAATGGAGAACAAGACCATAAATAGAAAGGGGCAATTTGCAAATCACATATCTGATCAAGAGCTTGTATCTAAAGGACATTTTAAAGCTCTGAAAATTCAATGTTAGGAGGACCAGCTACCAGGCAGCAGGACAGATAGATGAGCAGAAACCTTGTCAAGTGAACAACTGGCCAAAAAGGAGAATCAGATGCTACACAATTAGTCTTAGGGAAGGCAAATTAAAACCACAGTAAGATTGGGGCCAGGGGTGTCGCGCAGTGGTGCTGTACCTGCTGTTCAAGGTCCTGAGTTTGATCCCCCGGTACTGGGGAATAAAAAAAAGATAACTACGCATCCATTCAAATGGCAAAATTGAAAGCAACCAAGCAAGGGAGAGCAAAAGGAAGGACAGAGGGAGGACAAACAGGGAATATCAATTGCTGGTGTGTGTTTTCAGAGCGACTGGAACCCCTTCCCCAGGACTGGGGACTGAATGTAGGGCTTTTGCTCTGAGCTACATCCCCTGCCGCTTTTCTATTTTCTATTTTGAGACGGGATCTCACTTAGTCACTAAGTTGCCCAGGCTAGGCTAGAACTTGCAATCCTTCTGCCTCAGCCTCCCAGACTGCTAGGATTACATATGTGCACCACCATATCTGGGCTGCAACTAGAATACTTATGCACTGCTGGTTGGCAAGGTTTCTACAAAAGGATGCAAAAACAAAATACAGAAAGTCAGCTATATTTGTCAGTACCGAACAATTAAGTTTAAAGAAAGGTCCTTTACAATACAATTGCTAAAGTAGAGTATCTCGAAATGTTTTGTCTTCTCCCTTTATCCTCTCTTTCTGGGACTCATGTTTCCACTCAGTGTTCTGGGTCGACTGCTTTTCACCCCACTTCAACTCAACAAGTATTTGTGGATTCAAAGCCAGATTCCCGGGTAGTGTTCGGTAACTTCTATTCCTGCCTGCCTAACTTCTATTTTTGTCCCTTATTTTCTTTTCTTCCTTTCTTTATCCTTATGGTTCCCATTGCTACCCTCAGATTCAGAATTCTCTCCGAAAGAACATCTCCATCCAGGAGAGG